TAAAGAATATGATGTCATAAATCTACAGATATTTCCAAAAAGAACAAAGCATGAAGCTTAAAAATAGGCATGTTCCTAAAAATAATAGGTGGTTATTCCTTACGAGTGTAAAGTAAGAGATCTTTAATAGTAGTTCCAATAAATTGAATGTTGGTAACATGCGAATGCAAGCTTGGTTATGTTGAATTACTACTTCCAGACTATAAAAGAAAATGGTAGATTTATTTGCCCAATTTTTCTATATAAGCATCGAAAAACCACCATTAGTTCTCTTTCTCATCGCAAAATGTTCAGATTATTCGAGTTATCCATGCTATTGTTGGCTCTCTTGGCCATTACAACTACTGCCATAAGCATACCATATCCACGTGATCCAAAAATCAAAGATATCATTGCAACATTAGAAAACGATTCTGTCTTCTGTTCGTTTCTTCCACCCAATTATGGTGGTGACATTAGCGACAGCGAAGGTGATGCTGTCGCGTTTTGCAATAAACATAGCTCAAATGCGCCCAATGCCAAAATCTTTCCTGATGGATTCATCAAGTCATACCATTTCGCTACCGGAGATGGTTACATCCAGGTCACCGGCACTATTCACAGAGAAGCATACGGTCTAAAGAAAAGTGACGAGGGTGGTCAGTACGATAGTGTAGGTTCTCCTCCTGGTGCAACTTGTGCCAATTATAAAAAATTTGTGAACTTGGTCGAGCCTGATGTTGGATTATTTTGCATTCGCTGTTGTAATGACACTTCTAAGTGCGATACCGGCCGTAGCGAAGACGGATGCGAATCTATTATTCATGGAGACTATAGTTAAATTAGATATTGAGATTTCTCTAATTATTTTATTTTATTTTATTTTTTGTGATTTTTCTCTTGTAATTAGTATTCAATGGGTGAAATTTTATCTCATGTAGTATATTGTATAATTCATTACTCCTCAGTGACATGTTCGTGTTTAATTGCTTTACAAATGCTAATAAATTTTCTTTATTTATTTTCAATTTCATTATAAATGCTGAAAAACAGAATACAATCTATGTTTATTAATTATCCCAATTTACAAATGTCTTTAGATTTTTTTTGGTGAATTTTTTATACACACATAAAAAAATCTTTTTTACTTG